GGGGTTTTCTGGTACCCCACAGGTGGGGGGCTTGGGCGGTCGCCTTGGGGCGGGGCCTTTAGGTATCCCGGACGACAGGGCCTTTGGCGATCTTCTCGTCTTGCACTGTGACCAGGTATATCTTATCTCCTTTTCCTTCTGGCCCCATCATGTCGGTCGCAAGGATAGTTTGTAGGAGTATTATGAACATTTACTGAGGGCCAGTTACTATGTACACTGCACCGCGCGCGTGCTTTGCAAGATTTACCTCATTTAACCTCACAGTAACCGACGAACCGAACGTTATTATCCTTCTATAGATGAGGAGGACTTCCATGTGCTTAATTGCCCGAGGAGAGGCCGCTAGTTAGGTAGCTAAGCTACAGGTTGCATCCGGATGCTATTCCGTATCCTGGACTCAACCACGGTGGGATTCTTCTGCCTCCTCCTCCCCCCTCCTCTTTCTTCTCTCCCTCCCTCCTCTCCCCATCCTCCGCTTCCCCTCCCTCCTCTTTCCTCTCTCCCTCCCTCCTCTTCTTCATCACACGTACATTAATAATATTTATATTTCTAATGCTTTAGTTTACGTTTGCAAAACACTTTTCACGGCACAGTCCTGCATGATTCTCTCAGAAGCCTCGAGAGACAGTGGGCCATAATTATGCCTATTTTACAAATAGAAAAAGCAAGGGCATAAACTTTTCAATGAGTTGTCCACAGTTACAGTGGTAGGACTGGGGCTTCCTTTGGCAGATGATGATGATGATGATGATGATGATGATGATGATGATGATGATGATTTTACAAGGCATCTGAGCCAAACTTGGAAGGGAGTCTGTGTCTCTTCCCTTAGTTCACAGAGAGGAAAACAGAAGCACAGAACAGGAAAGGAATTTGTCTTAAGAGTGTGCAGTTAGAAGAAAATCAGCTCTGATCACTCACACATAGCCCCCTCAGAGGCAAAGTGAAGCAAAATGAAGGTCAAAATCAAGGCAGTCATGCTGTCAGGCACCCAGCCCCTGGATTATGTGGCAGGAAGAAGGATTAAAGTGTGTAGAATACATCTAGTCTTTGTTAGATGTAAACTAAGGAAATGGGGTTGCATTATGTCCCAATCATTCTTTAATACTTGACCTCACACCATCACAGAGATATGTCCAATGGCTCATCCCTCTGTCTTACTGTTCATTGCTCCTGCTGCTTTCAACCCTGCTGCCCCCTACTTCCCACCAAATTCTCCCCTTCATTTGCTTAATGAATATGTATTGAGAGCCACTTCTTGCATTAAGGTCATCCTAAGAACCACAGTAATTTTTCTTCTCTAAATTTCTTGAACACAGCAACTTCAGCAAAAATTGAGTTTTTGGGTCAAATAAGTTTGGAAACTGCTGCATTCTGTACCCCTGCTTGAGGATCCATTAATGCACTTTAACACAGAAATGGCTCTGAGAGGTCCTCAAGTAACTCACAGTTTCCCTGAGGTATTAGGCTTTGTGCTGGATGCTGGGCTTGCAAGGATAAGAGCTACACAAATCTACCCCTTCAGGGGCTCACAGATAGTGGAGACAGACAAGTAAACTAACTGTGATACAATTTTATCTATGCAGTAGTAGAGACATTTGCAAAGTGCTGACAAAGCAGAGGAAGAAGAGGAATTCTACCTGGAAAACTGAGGGAAGGCTTTGCATTAAGAGGATATTTGAGTAGGAGTTTTCTAGGTGGAGAATATGGGAAAAGGCATTCTATAGACACAAAAGCATATTTAGAGATTTATAGGTATGCTCTTGTGTTGGTCTCTGGAATAAGTATTATTAAACAAGAGTTTATTTTTGTTTCTATTTTTGTTTTTTGTTTTGCATGTAATACTCTATTCATACCAGGTTAAGCAACAAATGGAATTCATTGACTCATGTAACTCAGAAACGTTGCAGGCTTCAGGCATGGCTGGATCTAGGGGCTTAAAATTATGACATTAGGATTCAGTCTTTGTTCTCCATTCCTTAACTCTGTTTTTCTTTGTGCCGAATTCCTTCTCAGGCTGCCTTTCCCCATGAGATGGCAGAATGACTGCTTACAAGTTCAAATCATATCCTTACCAGCAGAGAGTTTTTTTCCCAAAACGCTACCAACAAAAGTCTCAGGACTGCATCTTGTTGGTCTAACTTGGGTTGCTTGTGCATCATTAAGCCACTCTCTTCAGGAGGGGCATGGAATATTCTGACAGCGCAGACCTAGGTCACATGCTAACTGCTGGAGCTAAGGTGTGGTCAGCAGCTCTTAAATCTCATGGACTGAGAACTGGAGAAAGATGCCTTCCTTGGTGAGGTTTTTTTCTTTTGCTCCCTTTAGATTTACTCTCTAACCTTTTCCTTCCCGATTTGTGCCTCAGGAGGCTGACCTGTATGGACTACTTCAATGGGTCTCTTATTCTTTGGCTTATAGTTTTTTTTTGAGGGGGGGTGCTCTGGGGGAGTCTTTATTAAATGATACTTTAGTCTCAATCTCTGCCAGGGACTGGAAGTGGGAGCGACTCCACTTCCCTCAGGTTGTCCCAGATTTGCTGTCTTAGAGGAAGGAGGCAGGAAGCCTGCTTTCCTGAGAACAGCCTGGGAAGCTAGGCTAGTGCCACGGTAGGGGACAGCAGAGCTGAGGTTCCCCACCCACAACCCCCAGTCCGAGCTGTACGTGCAGCCTCTGGGTTACAGTTGAATTTATCCAATAGAAGACATCAGAAGGAGTTCAGAGGATTGGAGGAGGATGAAGTTAGGGTATGATCTCATTGGCCCTTTCTCTTCTAGGCCACTGCAGTTTGGCTACACACATATACTGAGTCTTCTGTCTGGTGCCCCTCTTCATACAGTTCCCTCTCCTAGTTCTAGTAAAGTCTCTCTTCTCTTGGCCTAGAGATGGTAATAGCTTCCTTCTGTTGGCAGCCTCAGGGTATCACACCATCATTCCCTCTTGTTTCTCTCAACTCTGCCCACACATTTGTATATAACCTTACCAAACTCACCTCAAACTAACCTTCTGCTGGAACCCTGATGGTTACATTCACCAAAGGTAATTTAAGTTTCTATTACAGAATGGAAGGGAAATGAATAAAGAGCAGGCAACAGTGATAAGATAGCAATTCTGGTTTGGTAGAGCTATTGCAATGATGCAGACCAGAGATGACAGTAGTTTGGACAAGGGTCATAGGGAGGGAGGTGGTGAAAAATAGTATGTTCCTGGTGATATTTTAAGGTCATGTTAACAAAATTTACTGATGAATTATATGTAAGTTATGAACCTTAGAAAGGACTTGGGATGGAAGCAGTTGGAAAAACATAGGTCTGGAGTCTGGGAGTAAGCTCAGACCAAGCGTGGGGATTTGGGACAGAGGTGTGGTGGGTAGTTGAAATCATTGGCTCAGGTGAGATGACCCAGGAGGGGCATGTGGGGAAAAAAAAACACAAAAAGGGCAAAGGGCAGAATTCAGAGCAACAACAGTCTTTACATGGTGGGCAGAGGAAGAGTTGCCATCTTGTATCCATCAACTAGGTTGTGAGCAACTCAAGAACAAGCATGAAATCTTCCACGTCTTCCCTCTTACCATTGTGTCACAGTGTGTAATAAGGGCTTGCATGAATGAACTTTATGTAGTCTCACGTTTCTAACACTCCCTGCCTCTCCTCCTCATCATTGTGAGGTTCGAGTTACAGGCAGAGAAGAAAGGAGAGAAATTGATCCCTTGTGACTCAATCCATTGGAACCTGTGCCAAGGTAGATAGGCATTTTGCTGTCCTGAAAAACTCATGTAGAACCTGTCAGATTATGCTGTAGATCCTGAGTAGCTCATTTCTTGCCTTGCAGGAGAATTTCCAGGCAGGCTATTTCATTTCAGATTTTGTTTTTCTTATTTGAATAGATTTAAAAGTCAATACTTTGGGGGTCTGTGTATAGCTCAGTGGTAGAATGCATGCTTAGCACACATTAGGTCCTGGGTTCAACCCCAATACCTCCATTAAAAAATAAATTTAAAAAATTTTTTTGTTTTTTTAGAAGTCAGTACTTTAAAAAGTCCTTATTAGGTTTGTGCCATGGAATTAATTGAAGTGGTAAAAGAGCTCCGTGTCACACTCAAGTGTTGCTGGTGGAATGTAAAAGGAGACAGCTGACTGTGGGAAACTATTTGCCAGTTTCTCAAGCTAAATATACACCTACCCTGTGATTCGGAAATTCCACTCCTAGATATATATTCCAGAGAAATATGAGCACATGTTCAAAAAGCGGGGGTAGTTGTACAAGAATGCTCTTAACATCTTTATTTGTAATATCCCCAAACTGGATATATTCTAAATGTTCATCAAAAAAAGAATGGATAAACAAACTATAGTATATTCAAACAATGGAATACTACAGAGCCATAAAAAGGATGAACTGCTGATACACATCACATAAATAAATCTAAAAAAAAAAAAACTCGTTGAGCAAAAGAAGGCAGACACCAAAGGTTATAGATGTATGATTCCATTTACATAAAGTTCAAGAAAAGGCCAAACTAATCTACGGTGATCAGCATCAGAATAGTGGTTGCATCTGAAGGATGTGTATTATTAATTGGAAAGGGGCACAGAAGAACATTCAGGGAGCATTCACTTTGTTAGATTTCTGCTATTTGCCAGGCTCTGTTCCAGGCATTGAAAAGGTAACAGTGAACAAAGCAGACCAGGTCTTTGTTTTCATGCAAATCCACCTCAGCTCTTTTCATTGGCTACATAGCATTAATGCATTTTAAATAGAAAAAAAAGTAGCCTTTTAAAAAAATTGTCTCTAGATAATTTTTAATTTCTTCTTTGATATCTTCAGTGACCTGTTGCTTGTTTAGCCTCCAGGTGTTGTGTGTTTTTTGCAATTTTTTTTTCTTGTAGTTGATTTTAGATTCATAGCATTGTGATCGGAAAGGATGCTTGATATTATTTCAGTTTTCTTAAATGATGAATACAGAAGATTTGAGTCCTTTTGTCTTTTAACCTCTCTACTAGTTTTGTGTGGCTGATTGCTTACCCTTATTGTATGTTTGCCTTTACTAGTGAGCTTTTCCATTTCTTAATTTTCTTGTTACTAGTTGTAGCCTTTTCTTTTCCACTTAGAGCATTTCCTCTAGGATTTGTGATAAAGCTGGCAGTCAAATCTGAGCAAGAGCCTTGCTGGGTAGAGTATTCTTGGTTGTAGTTTTTTTCTTTCATCACTTTTTTTTTAATGGAGGTACTGGGGACTGAACCTAGGACCTCATGCATGCTAAGCACACGCTCTACCATTGACCCACTGACTCATGCCTCTCTTTCATTATTTTAAGTATATTGTGCTTCTTACCAGCACCACATTCAACATTGATTGGAAGATGAGCGATGCTGATTTTTGATATTTAATTTTTCCATTGTAAAAACTAGACTTGGTTTTTATGGATAGTTTGAAAACAAAAGGATAAATAAGAAAATTAAAATCACTCACAACCTCATGTTCTGGAGATAGCCACTATTCTATATTTTGGTGTATTTCCTTTCAGTCTTTTTTGTAAGATTAAGTATATCATTGGAATTATTCCATTTTTGGGGAAAAAAAAGAGTTTCTTTTAGCATTTATCAATTTGAATCTGGCAGTTCCAAAGCAGAAGTGGTTAGGGGCCTCCCTGGAATCATTTACTATGGATGTCCTATTTATTTTACTTGACATTGTATTGCAAGCATTTCAGTATATTTAAAGTCTATTTTAAAATGTGTTTTCTAACAGCTACATAATATTGCATTGTATTTCATTATTTATCTTATCATTGTTGGGAACAATATTTGTTTAGAATTTTTTCTTACATAGTTAACTGTGCAATGAGTATCTTTATATATAAATATATTGATGCATTTATGATTATTTCCTTAGACTAGATTCCCAGAAGAGGTTACTAGGGAAAGAGGCATGAACATTTTAAAAACTCTTTGGAAAGTTACAAAATGCATTTCAGAAAGGTTGTACCAACTCTCATATTGTCAATATATGCCTTGTCACATCCTAAATAATATTGAGTATTGTACTTAATTTTAAAAGTCCTTCCTATTTGATAAGCAGACAAAAACAAAAAACAAAAACCCAAAACCAACCAAACAAGAGAATGAACATTTTTTGTGTGCACTTCATTTGAAAACCAGCGAAGTTCTTCATCCATTCTTCTGTTGAACTATTAACATTGTTTGATTGACTGTAATGATATCTTGTATATTATAGATAGTGAAATTTTTCTCAGTTTCTGGTTTCCTTTTTGAATTTTTTCTTTTTTTGGTACACAAATGTGTTAAAATTTTTGTTTGTATGTAAAAGTATCAATCTTTTACATTGTCATTTCTTCACTTGCTTTCCCCCCGCTGACATTTAATTTACAGTAACCTTAATTTTTGATGATTTCTATTTTTTCATTTACCACTTTAGTTCAGTTGAAACTTATGTTAGTATAAAAATATGAAGTAAGACTAACTTAAATTCTTCTTCCAATGAATCTATTATTAATTATTAAAGAATCCATTTAACCCACTATTTTGTATATATACAATTTAGTATATATAAAAGCAGTACATATACACTTCTGGGTTATTTAGCTGTTAATAGAAACTGTTAGGGTACATGAATTCTACTATCTGTAAGGGAATGGGTACACATATTTCCAAATATTTTTCAGGAAAGATTTACTAGTTTATACTGCCTCCTTCCTGCACCCCTTTCTCACAACCTTCAAACTTCAGCAGTGTGTGAGAGAGCTAGTCTCAGGGCTGCAGGCACTTTATTTAAAAGTCTTTAAAAAATGTAGGATCACATCCTGGTTATGCTGCTGACTAGTTGTTTAACCTTGAGCTAATCTCACATGCTTTATGCCAGGTTCCCCTTTAGCCAAATGGAAATATCAGTGGTACCTCCCTCATAAGATGGTATTGAGGCTCAAATGAACTGTTTTTTTTTTTAATTGACGTATAGTCAGTTACAATTTGTCAATTTCTGGTATACAGAATAATCAAATGCACTGTTTTGGGGGGTTTTTTTTGAGGGGGAGAAGGTAATTAGATAGATTTATTTATTTATTTATTTATTTATTTATTTATTCTAATGGAGGTACTGGGGATTGAACCTAGGGCCTTGTGCGTGCTAGGCACACACTTTACAACTGAGCCATACCCTTCCCCTCTTCAAATGAACTGTTGTTTTAGAGTCTCCTGACAAATTATAAAATCCTAATAGTGCAATTAATAATTATTACGTGTTTATAAAGAGAAATATGTCTTTAAAAACCCACTCCTGCGTAATTTTGAGGGTTGAGTATGGAAGTACGTCTTTTCAGTGGCTTCTGAAGCCTGGATGCTGTTTGAGATTTCATCCTGCTATGTTCGTCTGAATTGCAAAGAATCAGTTCTATTTGCCTGCAGAATTTGAGGCTGCAGAATTAACTGCAGATGGGTTGGAGAACAACAGTGTTACTCCACGCTGGAAGGAGCAGCTCTTTAAATGTTGCAGTCCTTGAATTTGTTCTGAGGAAATATTATTTCCTGATTAATTTGAGCTACAGTTGGATGGAGGATAGTAAAAGTTGGATAACCATAATCAGGAAAGGGTAGGGTGTGGCACAGACAGCCAAGGAGGAAGTGGAACATTAAAAATTGGCAGCTGCATAAACAGCCCAGGAATTCAAATTCTTTTGAATTTTTTTGACTATCAGTGAGGGTTTGATCAGGAGACAGAAATCACACCAGTGATTTAAATAGAAAAAATTGAATATAAAGAGTTGATACCTAGATACAAAGTTACTAACTAGTAACTAAACAGGTAAAAAGAATGCTAAAGGATCATGGAGGTAGTGACTACAGGAAGCGGCTTCCATTCTGAAGATGAAAGGAACCAAACAAAGGAAGAGGTTTAATTATTAAAACTTAGAGGATAAGGGGATATTCAGCCATAAAAAGGAACAAAATACAAATACATGCTACGACTTCGATGAACTGTGAAAACATTATGCTAAGTGAAAGTTTGTTGCACTAGTCTACATATTGTATAATTCCATTTGTATGAAAGTCCAGAACAGGGAAATCTACAGAGATAGAAGACAGATCAGTGGTTGCCAGTGGCTGGGAGGGTGGGGATGGGGGTATACGAAGGATGAGGGGGTGATACCTAAGGGTACAGGGTGGTTTCTTTTTAAATTGTGATAAAATATACGTAACATAAAATTTATCATTTTTATCTTTTTGTGTGTTTGGGGGGAGGGAGATAATTAGGTTTTGTTGTGCTTTTTAATGGCGATATGGGAATAGAACCCAGGACCTTCTGCATGCTAAGCACACACTCTACCCCTGAGCTTTACCCCTCCCCCTTTACCATTTTAACAATTTTAAGTATACAGTTTAGTAACATTAAGTACATATACTCAGATGTACAACCATCACCAGCATCCATCTCCAGAACATTTTTAGTCTCCCCAAATTGAAACTCTGTACCCAGTAAACAATAACTCCTCATTACCACCATTCTTTCTGTTTCTATGAATGTGACCACTTTTCAGTACCTTATATAAGGGGAATCATACAGTATTTGTCCTCTTGTGTCTGCCTTATTTCACTTGGCATAATGTTTCAAGTTTCACATGTTGTGGATCTGATATGATATTCCGTTGTATGTATGTACACACCACATTTTGTTTATCCATCTGTTGATGGACACTTGAGTTGATTCCACCTTTTGGCTATTATGAATAATGCTGCTGTGAACATGGATATTCAAATATCTGTTTGCTTTCAATTCGTTTTTGTATATACCCAGAAGTGGCATTTCTGGATCATATGCTAACTGTATTTTTAAAGTTTTGTTTTCCATAAGGGCTGCATCATTTTACATTCCCACTAGTGATGCACAGGGTTCCAGTCTCTCCACATCCTCACCAACACCTGTTATTTTCTTTTCAGGGTTTCTTTTTGAGGTGGTGAAAATATTCTAAAATTGGTGGTGGTGATGGTTGCAATATCCATGGATATACTAAAAACCATTGAATTGCACAATCTAGATGAGCAACCTGTGCAGTATGTGAATTATGTCAATAAAGCTGTTTAAAAAGTATATGTAGGAGGAGGGCACAGTAGACCTGGGCCCCACACCTCTGAGAAGAGGGTACTGATGTTGCTGAGGGGTTGCCATGAGGCTGGTTGTGCAAGAGTTGGAAAGAACTACAAAACCTGATGCAACTCATACTGTCTTAGAGTGAAGCAGTGTTGCTGGGTGGTGTGCACAGGAGCCGGAAGTAGACAGGAAGGTGCAAGTCCCATCTTCCCCCTGCAGCCACATAGGGCCCTCACAGGGAGCCGCTGGCAAAGCAGAAAGGTGGTTTCAGTCCCAGCATCCCAAAGCCATCCCCTAGAAGGGCTGGTTTAGAGCTGAGAGAAAAGAGCTTAATGACATGCTGTCTTTTTTTTTTTTAAGCTTTTATTTATTTATTAACTGAAGTATATAGTCTGTTTACAATATTGTGTAGTTTCTGGTGTACAGCATAGTGATTCAGGTATACATACATATATATATTCCTTTTCATATTCTTTTTCATTATTGGCTACTACAAGGTATTGAATATAGTTCCTTGTGCTGTACAGTAGGGCCTTGTTATTTATCTGTTTTATATATAGTAGTTAGTATCTGCAAACCCCAAACTCCCAATTTATTCCTCCACCCTGCTTTCTCCCCTGGTAACCATAGTTTGTTTTCTTTGTCTGTGAGTCTGTTTCTGTTTTGTAAATAAGTTCCTTTGTGTCATTTTTTTTAGATTCTACATGTAAATGATATCATATGGTATTTTTTTTTCTTTCTGGCTTACTTCACTTAGTATGACCATCTCCAGGTCCATCCATGTTGCTGCAAATGGCATTCTTTCTTTCTATTTTATGGCAGAGTAGTATTCCACTGCGTGCACGCACAGCGCGCACACACACACGCACCCCCGACATCTTTATCCGATCATCTGTTGATGGACATTTAGGTTGTTTCCACGTCCTGGCTATTGTAAATAGTGCTGTTATGAACATTGGGCTGCGTGTGTCTTTTCAAATTTCAGTTTCCTCTGGATATATGCCCAGGAGTGGAATTGCTGGATCATAGGGTAAGTTTATTTTTAGTTCTTTAAGGAATCTCCATATTGTTTTCCATAATGGCTGCACCAAATGACATTCCCACCAACAGTATAGGAGGGTTCCCTTTTCTCTGCACGCTCTCCAGCATTTATTGTTTGTGGACTTTTTAATGATAGCTATTCTGACTGGTGTGAGGTGATACCTCATTGTAGTTCTGATTTGCATTTCTCTGACAATTAGTGATACTGAGAATTTTTTCATGTACCTATTGGCCATTTGTATGTCTTCACTGGATAAATGTTTGTTTAGGTCTTCTGCCCATTTTTTCGGTTGGGTTGTTTTGTTTTTTTGGTACTGAGTTGTATGAGCTGTTTGTATATTAAGCCACATCATTTGCAAATATTTTCTCCTATTCTGTAGGTTGTTTTTGTTTGTTTATAGTTTCCTTTGCTGTGCAAAAGCTTATAAGTTTAATTATGTCCAATTTTTAAATTTTTGCTTTTATTTCTATTGCCTGGGTAGACTGCCCTAGGAGAATATTGCTAAGATTTGTCAGAGAATATTTTGCCTTATGTTTTCTTCTAGGAGGTTTATAGTGTCTTGTCTTATGTTTAAGTCTTTAAGCCATTTTGAGTTTATTTTTGTGTATGGTATGAGGGAGTGTTCTAACTCCATTGATTTACATGCAGCTGTCCAACTTCCCCAACACCGTTTGTCCAGCTTTCCCAATACCACTTACCGAAGAGGCTGTCTCTTCCCTACTGTATATTCTTGCCTCCTTTATAGAAGATTAATTGACCGTTAAGTGTGTGGGTTTAATGACATGCTGTCTTAATCAGCTTGGGCTGCTACAACAAAACACCATAAACTGGGTATCTTATCAGCAACAGACATTTCTTTCGTTCCAGAGGCTGGAAGTCTGAGATCAGGGTGCCAGATCATAATCAGGTTCTGGGGAGTGCCCTCCACCTGGTGTAACAGATGTCTTCTTGTGTATCCTCGCGAGATGGAGAGAGAGCAAGCCAGCTCTCTGGTCTCTTCTTATAAGGGCACTAATCCCATTCATGAAGGCTCCACCCTCATGATCTAATTACCTCTCAAAGGCCCCACCTCCAGATACCATCACACTGGGATTAGGGGTTCAACACAGGAATTTGGGGGCCACATGAACGTTCAGCCTATAGCACTTGCACACTTTGGTTTTGGAGTTAGGCAGTTCTGAGCTTAAATCCTGGTTTTGCTACTTACCAGCTATAGGACCTGAGACTTGGGTTCTTCATCTGTAAAATGGGGGTAATATTAAAACTTACCTCATAGGATTGTTATCAAGGAGACTTGAGATATTCATGAGGTCTTTGTATAGTGTGTGGCATATAATAAGTGCTTATTAAACATGTGAGTATATAGACATTATCCTGTGTGTAGGTATAAATAAATATTTTTGGCACTATTCCACACTTGCCTTTGTAGATTGGAACTTATAATGAAGAGAGACATGTGTGCTTAGAATTACTTAAGAAAAATCATTAAACATTCATTATATATAATTTAATGTCCTTATGGGATGCTGGACATAGTTCTAAGATTTTATTAACTCATCTGATCCTCATAATAACCCTTAGGTAGATACTGTTACTATTCTGGTTTTACAGATGAGGCACAGAGAGTTTAAGCAACTTGTCCAATGCCACACAGCTACTAAGTAGTGAGCTAGGAGTCAAACCTAAGCGGAGTGGCCATAGAGTCTGTGCTCTTCACTACTGCAGGGGGCAAAAAAGTGCTTCATTCAGCCTTAACTGCAATCGAAGGGCATCTCGAGATCTGCACTGTTACTACAGCAGCCACTAGATATATGTGGATATTTAAATTTAAGATAACTGAATTTAAATAAAACTAAAAATCCAGTTCCTAGGTCACATTTACCACATTTAAAGTGCTCAATAGCCACACGTGGATAGTGGCTGCCGTGTGGGCAGCATAGACGTAGAACATTTCCATCATCGCAGAAAATTCTATTGGACAGCACTGTTCTAGTTAACTCTAGAAAGTATTAACCAAACATAAGACTCAAACTCAACAGGTGTCACATGGGTTTGTTTTAATTAAATACCACTTCAGAATGTTATTTGCACCTAGCACACACATTTTTTTGAAAAATAAGACATGCCACATATTAGTCACTAAATTAACAAAATGTAAGCATCCACATAGAATATATTCTAAGGTGACTTCACTTACACAGCTTCTCAGAGAAACACACATTAAGATGTTTTGCTTATGAGCCAGCCTTGGACCAGATTTGGAATTCACCAGGCTGCAGGTTGGAGGTTCCCCAACACTACCCTGATGGACATCTTGGACCCACACTGTACCATCAAGCTGCCTGGTTTCCACCAGAAAAGCAAGGGAGAGGTCAGTCCTGCTTTCCTACCCAATTTTCAGTTCCATCCTGCAAAAACCTCCCATGACCTTAAGCTTAATGTGATGACATCGTCAGACCTGCAGCTTCCTGGGGGGGGGGGTGGAGCCGGGCTAAGCTCTCTTTAAAATCTTCAGGCATCAGTCTGTGAAGAACTGGTCCTAATGTCTGATTAGGGAACCCAGAATCCCAGCCTTTAGAACAGAGGGACAGAATTGAGTAGGGAGAGGAAGCCAGAGAACAAATGGAACATTTAAAAAGTTTGGTAACCTGGCCTTAGATACTGGCTGCGAGGAAGGAGATAGAAGCGTGATGTGTCATGTTGCTTGTAGCAATCAAGAGGACTTGAGGGGGGGGGGCAGTGAGAACCATAAAAAAATAAAATGGGCAGTGAATGGAAAGTTGATGACCTCCCTGCCCTGTCCTAACAGCAAGTGCTGCTTATCTGTCACTAGCAAACAGTGCATTTACACTCGGGGACAAAGACGGGGAAATGCTCGCCGGAGACAGGATTCTCGAGACCATGGCTCCACCTCAGCTGTTCTTGCCTGACGACATGACCTAACTTGGCTTCCACTCGGGAAGCCACCACAACACTGCGCAGCCTTCCAGTACTCAGCTTCCAGTATTCGGAGGATGCTGCTAGTGCCCTAAAGCTGAAGGCAGGGAAGCTGCCCAGGCCCCCGAAGCAGCTCCCAGGCAGCACTGAACCCATGATCGTCAGCCGACCTGAGATGATGATGCACTTTTATCCACTCATCTTTCTTGCCTGGCTGGAGGTTAAAAGACCTGTAATGGAACAATGGGAAGGGGGCAGAGGAAGGCTGGGAGGGTGTAGTATGCTGAGTGATCACCTGGGTTTGACCCATGTGAACGGCCTCCCTGCTCACCTTCCCTTTATCCACTTGGCCTTCACACCCCCTCTTTGCCCACTTTAGAACCATTGCCTGGACAATCTGAATAGCAGCAAAATTGGATTTTAATTCCCCTTAAATGTTTTGTTCTTGCAGCGTGCAGCCTGATCTTGAAAAGTGGCTTTTATCACCCCTTTAGACTTTTCCTCCACACTGCACAAGGCCTACTTTCCAATCAGTGCTCATCCTGCCATTCTCTTCCTCATGAACCATCAATGGCTCCCATGCCTTGTAGGCATTCAGGTCTCTCCAAGATTCCACCTCCACTGCTTATCTTTCCAGGCTCCTCTCCCGCCACCTACCCTGGCTCACTCTTTGATACCTCCCAACCCATCTCTGTGTCTTTACAAATGCTGGCCCCTCTGCCCAGGGGTGATCACTTTACTTTCTCTGCTTTGCTCAGATCTTAGCTAGATTTTAGTTGCCACCCACCAATGAGTGGAGCCAAAATCATCTCCAATTTTGAATACCCAGTTCTGGGCTCGGGGCCTGTGACCTTTAGCAGGGCCTCCACAACTCTCACTTTCTGTGGTCTGCTGCTGCACTGGGGTGTCTGTGTCTCCCACTGCTGGCCTGGAGGCAGAAACCATGTCTTTTTCTTGTAACCCTTACCATCCAAATGTTTAACACAGAGTAAGTGTCTCATGAATATTGTTTAATTAAGTTGACACCTATCCTAAAGGAAAAAAAGTCGCTGTCTGTTACCTTCTTAGGCATGTAAGACACAATACAGAAGTGGTTAAGACACAATACAGAAGTGGTTATCACAGGAAACAGACATCGGTTTTGAAGTCAAGGTACTAAATCAGTATTAAGCACAATCCATAAAGGTTAATGATCTATCAACACTGGTCTATTAACACTGTTATCTTGCCTCTTGGTTCAAGGTTGCCTAAGAAAGCTGTTAAGTGTAGTTCTAGTGAGTAATCACTGGATGGAGGAATGCCACAAACCCTATGGGGATTATTCGGCCTGCCAAATGAACCCCCAAGAGGAACCAGGAATGGTAATTTCGACTTCCCAGCAGGGGTGTGTCGGGCTTTTAGCAAACCATTCCTCTCAGTTATCAGGCTTTCAAGGTGTGTGATATTTGGATTACCTGCTGGTGTGTCGGGCTTTTAGCAAACCATTCCTCTCAGTTATCAGGCTTTCAAGGTGTGTGATATTTGGATTACCTGCCTCAGAATCACATGTGCTGTCAGTTAAGAATGCAGACTCTGGGGCCTGGTCCCAGTCCCACTTAATCAGAGTGTCTGGTTGGGGTGTAAGAATCTGCATTTTAAATAAACTCTCTAAGGGAGCTTTATTTTCATGAGAGTTTGCAAAGCTTTATCTGCCATTCTCAATAGTACACAGTCAGTCTAGGGGAAGACGTTTGTGTATGCAGCCAGCCAGACACAGCAGCCCCATTTCTGAGGAGGCTTACTTCTCCCAGATGTATGTGCCCAGGAATGAGGACCCAAAGAGTCTACCGACACCAAGGAAGTTAACCAATGACTCAGGTTTGGTTTGTTGATCTAGAAAGGAGAGGATGGAGGAGAGTGAGCGAGGCTGTCTCTGAAATGAGCACCCCTAGTTCTCCCAGAGGGCACCAGATGTGCAGGAAAATACACAGGAAACAGCCAGGTTGCCTGTCTGTCCTTTTATAAGTGATGCAATCACCTTTTGCAAAATGAAAAGGGATTTTTCTTCCTTTATGGGCAGAAGTCTCATCACCCCTGCTCCTGTCTTTCTTCTTCTTCCCCTTCTCTTAAGTCTCAGTTTCCTTTGGTTGGGGGATTGGGGAGGAAAGCAATCATGTAGTTCACAGAACCAAAACCAAGTTAGTTTTCAGGGTAGATCCAGGACAAAGACATCAAGCACATGTTCGCTGGAAATGCACAATCAGAAAGCAGATGTGCGCTTCTAACAGGCGAGTGACAGAATGTTACACCCAGGGCTGGCTCACCATGCCATGTGAAGGTGACACAAATGTTATCACAGGTACAGAATCAGTGAGCCGGGTAGACATCAGGTCTGTACAGGAGGTGGGGGAAGACTGGATTTAGAGGTCTCCAGCCTTTCAGTGGATTTGGAAAGTAAGAGCAGAATCTTGGCCTTGTTTCAGTTCTGAAGAATGTGGCCACCTTTGGTCACTGACTGGGGGAAGCTTCAGTCACCATCCTCAAGGATGACAAAGACCTTGCAAAACTGGTTGGGCTGAACTCCGTACCCCTCACCTAGAATACTGCTTTCAACCCCCACCCTCATCATTTGAAATTTCCAGGACCAGGATAATCTACCCTTTGCCAGAGTCAAAGGCTTTTCAAGATCCTCATCCATAGAGTTCTTGGATTTAAAAAAAAAAAAAAAAAAGGCTTGAAAGCCAAGTTTCAGAATTAAGGGTTGAACCACTGTCAGCACGGCTTGAGCAGCTATAAATGGAGGGCAGGTGAGTCTCCTTCGAGGCAGGCTCATTCCTTCTTGGTGTGTTCCAGGACTCGGTAGGGAACCCCGGAGGCGCTTCTGGAGCTGTGTTCTTCCTGCATGACAGGCAGTGTGGCAGGAGCATAGATCTCAGAAATGTTGTCATTGTTTTCCAGGGCCCCGTAGGAGAAAGAAGCTTTGAGGTCGGGCTGCACTGTCATCCCCTTGTCATGCATGGTTTGCATACCTGAAATGAAATCCATTCCCCTCCTCAGTCATGATGTGGTCAGGGGGCCAAAGGAGACCGTAGCTTCCTCTATCCCGCCACAGACTATTTACTGTGCTCAGGAGCTAATCATGGTCATTGTCAATTTCCTGAATGCTTTAGATTGAAAAAAGAGCCCCATAAATATACATTAGAAATATAACGGTTGCTAAGCAACAAAGGATGAACCTTCAGGAAATATGCACACAGACCAGCCACTGTCAAGAGAAGCCACCCATTGGCTCAGAACAAGGTGGGAATGTCTGGGCCATAGGGGGAGCGGAACCAGCGCTGTGTGCTGAACGTGGTAGATGCCAGTGCTTTTCTGCTGAATGAAATCAGGATCCAGAAAACTTCGTTATACTGTTGAGAGGAGAGAGTAACTTTTGTGTCACGAATATGTGATGGTGACACCGTGTATTTGTAATGCCCAGAGGGAGAGTTCTGAGCTTTAACCTTAACATCCCTGATCCACATATGGGGTAAGGTGTGGTTTTGCTTATCCTGTGCACACTGATTTTGGATTTCTACCTACATATGAGGGCAAAGACTTTAGTCAGTTATCTCTGTAATTCCCCTAGTCAGGTGGGGTGTGGTCTCCTCTGAGGCCAATTCTTTTCCTGGTAGGGAATTAAGATCCTTCAAATTCTCTTAGCCCTTGGCTGAGTCATAAGAAATTGAATGCAAAGTATCTTCCATGAAACTATGGTGATAGTAACAGCTGACATCTGACTGCTTCATACGCCCTAGGCACTGGCTGAGTGCTTTAGCAGGAATAGTAACAACAGTGGCAGTAATGATGATGGCTAATGAGCACTGAATGTTTAGTTGGTGGCAGACACTATTCTAAATCGTTATCAAGTTTTATCTCACGTGATTCTCACAACTACTAATTAGGAAAATGAGGCAGCTGGAGGTTAAGGAACTTGCTTGAGGTCACCAAGCTAAGTGGCCGTGCCAGGGTTCAAGCTCAGGTGGTTTAAATTCTGAAGCCCACACTTAACCAGAATGCTGTGTGTACTCTCTGTACACCTGCACTTAATCCTCAAAAATCCTATGACAGAAGTATGCTACTATCCTCCTTTTCTGGATAAGAACACAGAGATTCAGAGAGGTAAAGTAAACTTGTCATGCAGCTAATAAGAGACAGAGCTGGGATCTGATAGCAAAGCCTGTGCTCTCATTCCACTCTGCAAGCGGCTTGGGGAGACCCAGTCTGTGGAAGGCCCTTTGCTTCCACTTTGCACAGGTGGGAATTTGAAGGGTACAGTTTAAGAGTTTGTCGTTTGGATTGTGGGGGAGGCAGATTGGGAGAAGATGAGGGGTTGCCTGTATCTCAGGGAAGAGAGTTGGTTTACCAGGCACAGTTTAATTTTATCAGTGGTCTCTAGCCAAAACTCACCAGGAATACACCCACAGTCTAACAAATTTGGGTTTCTTGATGCATTGCAATGAAGGAGATGTTCACCATAAGCACTGCGGAGTGTTTCAATACGAGGGTATCAGAAAGGACTTACTGCAAGATTTGGCTTGTGTTAGGTGATTCAGGGAGGGTTGAAGGAAGCAGGGCTTTGCTTTGGATGGCTGCTGTCAGGAAGTGGGGATAGTCCTATAACTGGGGATCCTAATGATTCTTATCTAGAAGGAAAGAAGACTAGCTGGACACTAACGCTGCGATTGGTCAGGAAGCAGCAGTCACTCATGTTAGAGGGATGGCTGCTCTTTTTTTGTGGTGTGGACAATGTTCATGTTCTGCCTGTGTTTGGACATGATAGCGGAGTGGTCCTGTTTGCATCTTGATCCATCACAGTCACATGGTGACTTTGTCTGATGATGTTTTGTGAAGTGCTCTGTGGTCAGCCATGAACACCAAGGCCCAGCTGTGGGAGCCAGGCCAGCTCCCAGCCTTCAGGGACTGCTTTTCTCCTTCTCATTTTCTAGAAGTCTTTGGGATGCTAAAAGGCTTATTTAAAGCTTCTCCCAGTTGTGACACAGAGTGAATTTTTGGAATTTGTTGCTTCTTGAACCATGGCTACTGGTCAGTTGTGAAGATACTATTCTAGGTAGACCAAGAGCAAGGTCCTGATGCCAAACAGAGAAACCAGCTGAAAAGCAACTCTGTGTAAGCAGTTTTCTTCATATGTTCTACCTGCCGTCAGGTCAAACAAGTGCTTGAAATCTTCGAAGTTTTTTTTTAAAGCAAAAGGCAAATGAAACCAAATTCAACCAGGCATCTACCAGGTCCCAGACACTGTGCGAGGGGGTCTTTAACTTATCATCCCACAACCCTGGGAAAAGGAACCCCAATTTACAATTGAGGGCAGAGGCCTTGGGGGGTCCAGGTGCCCAAGGTCATTCAGCAGGTAGGTGGTGGAGCTGGGATTTGAATCCACGTCATCTGAACTCCAAGCCCATGCTCCTCTTCGTAGTACAAACCCATGTCTACTCAGAAATCCTGATACGCCACAGCAAGAGGGCAGGGTCTCCTTTCTCCAAAGTCCGACTTCCCACCAATCACAAGCACAAAGAAGAAGCGAGAGCCACATCCACAGACAGACCACGGAACACTGATATGTAAGATTACCTTAGGTTACCTTCTACCTTCTACCAGAAAATACATCTCTATATATGCATATGCAAATACTTATATAGACGTATACACATACACAGTTGATAAACACACAAACACACGTGTACATACACATACTTGCACACACAGAGTTGACACCTCACCTATCTGGAATTCAGCTATCCAGCGCCCTCATCTATCCGGAACACAGCCGAGAAACAAGGAAGTAAGCAAAAAAGGCATCTGAGCAGCCAGATTAGATGTTTACAAAGTCCATGCACTAAATAAAGCTCATGCACTTAACTCCTAGGAGAAACCTTAAGGCCCCAGTTCGGAGCTTATTTATATTAATTTTCTACACGATTCGAACAACTTGGGTCAAATGAGAAGATTGACACGGAGCCGCTATACGCAGGTCACAGCACGAATGACAGACAACAAACAGCTTATTAGCAAGAGATGAAGAAATAATATAAAAAGTGGACACACAAACCCTGGGGCCACTTAGAGCAGGGGCACCTCAGTCAGCCCTGAGAACACGCCTGCCTCCCAGAGTACTTTATTAAGCAGTGTTAAGTATTAAGCAGTACTTTGCACCAGCACTGTGACTGCTGTCTTAGTGAAGGCTGGGAGATGATGTTTTGGAGACAGTTCCATCTTATGTAGCTAAAATAAAAATTAATTTTGAGTTGAAGAATGAAAGCTAGCGGTTGCTAGCACCCTATAATAGAATTTAGGTCGGCAACCCTAGATGGGGCTGGCCCAGGGTCTTAACTTTACTAATCTGGATCCCTTGAGGCTGGGCAGGGAGCCTCCAGTTCTCCACAAGCCCCGCCACTCCCTCTGGTGCAGTCCTCGGCTGATTGGCACATTTATGTTCCTGCCGTTTGAACCTGTGCTTCTCAGGGTGAACCCTTAGCTCCCTGGGGAATTATTTCCAGAACAATCCACTCCCTTGTGGAATCTAAGGGGTGAGGTTACAGTATTTGAACTTCACTCATCCTGCCTTCCTTCCCCTCTCTGATCATTCCATTCCGCTTAGATGAATGGGTTTTTTCCCTTTGCAGGCAGGAAGCCTGGTGCTGCAGATCGTAATTATATGCAGTGTGATTTCGGACTGTCTTTAAAAGATCCCCAAACAGACATGAGAACTGGCAAGATGTGCTCAAAACCAACTGAGGTGCCTCAGCCATTGCCTCCTCTTCCGCAAACTGAGATTAAACAAAAAACCAAAAAAAAATAAAATAAATAAAAGAGAGAGAGAGACAGTCACACCGTAACGGCACAGCACGCCGTCCCTGTACCAAACCCAGAGGCTGCTTGCCTCCTGAAGCAGGAGGCAGCAGTCATTCTGTCGGGATGGGCTGGCCAGCTGGAGACATGGGGTTTGACGTTACCTGGCATGGCATCCATGGAGATATAGGGCTCGAAGGGAATGGCCCGCTTCCTGTGACGTGTGATTAAGAAGACGCCCAAGAATGCGATGAGGCACCTGAGGGGCACAAGCAAGGGAGGAAGAGAGGGAAGGCCAGAGTGAGGTTGGGAGGGATACTTTCAAACCTGGGTAATGGGGAAAAAAGGGAAAAGAGGGTTGCAGGCTGTAGAGGGGGCTTGCTGCTGGGCGGCCCTGAGATCAGCAGGGAGCAGATGCCAGATGAATGTCAGCCAACGTGGCCCACACGAGCCTCAGTCAGGACAAATTAGGCTCTTCTGGGCAAAACCCTCACTGTTCTTCTTCCCCACTTACCCTGTATCTCAACCTTATCTTTCAAAAAAAATGTTTTTAATTTAGAAAGTTCTTTATGGCCTAAATTCAATCAATACAGGAGCAGAGAAAGCAAAAATTGGAAAGCCCCTGTACTCCCCTAGTCCCTTCCCCCACCCCCAACAGATGTGTATTCTTCCAGAGTCTGTTTTGTTTTTTTCTTTTCCCTAGAGCTTGGATAAACAAGCGCACTTTCTAAACATTGAGGTATAATTTACATGCAAGAAAATGCGCAGTCCCTAGACATGGAGCTGAATGAATTTCACTTGTGTACACACTCGTGTGATCGCCATCCAGGCCAAGAGGGAAGACATTTCCATCCCCTCCACCCCAGAAAGTTTCCTTGTGCCCCCTCCCAATTGATGCTAACCCTTCCCTAGAGGAAACCAGTGTTCTGACTTCCACAGATTGGATTTGCCTGTTCTCGAACTGCTTGTAAGTTCAGTCTTGCAGTGTGTACTCTTTTATGTCTGGTTCTTTCACCCAATAAAGGTTTTCAAGATTCATCTACTTCATTGTGTGTACTAGTTGTTCTTTTTTTTAAAAAAATATTTTCTTTTTTCGTGGAACAGACCTGAGAGTCCGACTAATTGATTGATTGATTGATTGATAGGGAGGAAGGTAAGTAGGTTTGCTTATTTATTTACTTTTAATGGAGGTACTGGGGATTGAACCCAGGACCTCATGCGTGCTAAGCACGCGCTCTGCCACTTGAGCTATGCCCTTCCTCCTCAGTATCTTTAACTGTTGTGTTGAACCCACTGTCTGAACACACTGTAATTTGTTTCCTACTCGCCTATTGAGGACATTTCGGTTGTCTCTAACTCGGGCATATTATGAATAAAGCTACTGTAAGTATTCGTGTACAAATCACTTTGTCAATATATGTACTCATTTCTTCTGGGTCTATATCTAGAAGTGGATTTGCTGGATCATAGGGTACACTGTACATTAAAAAAATGTAACTTTAATGCATCTTAGACATTGTTCTATGTCAGGACCTACAGACTGGCCTCAATTTTTCAAAGTGGCAGTAATTACATGGATATAATATAATGTATTTAACCCATATTTTACTGATAGGCACTGAGGTTGCTTCCAATTATTTGCTTACACAATTGATTTTAAAATTAATGAACACCCTCATATATGGATCTTTATGTCCCATTTCCATACTTTTCCAAGGTAAATGATTAGAAATGGATCCTCATTTAAGAATTTTACTGGTATTGCCACATTGTCCTCCCACATTAGAGAACTTCGCACACTGGCAGACAGCCGGTCCCCTCACCCTTTTGCCAACATGGGATGTCACCCATCCTATTGGCTTTTGCAAAATGATGACGTTTAATGTAGCTTCAATATGCATTTCTTTGATCTGAGGTGAGATTGAGAGTCTTCATGTGTCAAAATATGATGTTTTCAAAGTGATAAGGTGGTTAAAGCCCAAAAGAAGAAAGGAAAAGGAGAAAAGGCCCTCTGGGGAGTAACATGCTCGCCTCTGGGGACAGAGCTCCCAATGCTGACTGTGCCTCTGGCTCTAAAGGATTGCCTGGGAGGCTGAAGCTGGAGTGGAGAGACGGGGCAACCTGCCTGGAATTTATGCACCGCGACCTGGGGCCCGGGAGTGGGCTGGGACTCACCCCAGTGCAAACATGCAGACGTGCAGCACGTCCTCCCCGATGAAATCCAAGTAAAAGATCGCGCCTGCAGCAGCAAACGATAGAAAACACAGGTGAGCTGTTTTCAGATCAACTACACTCGCCAGTCTGTCTAGGATTTGGCTAAGCTCTCTCCCCTGCAGGAAACCAAAGTGATCAAAAAATACTATGACTGCACCTAGTAAGATATTAGAAGAATGGAGTAAAAGCCATTTGGGGAAACATTGTTTTTTCTTTCTCCCCCTTCTAAGCCCGTCTTACTGCCATCTTTTTTTCCCCCTTAATTTTTTACTTTGAGATATTAGACTCACAAAAATAGCATGGAGTTCCCATGTACTCTTCACCCAGCGTTTCCCAATAAAATGACACTATGATTTAATCTACTGACCTTACTTACCAGTTTTTACACTCTCCTTTCCCCCATCTTTCTTAAGATGGAAAACCAAGGCTTTGTGTTTAAGCCATCGAAACTCTCTAACCTCACACGGCCAGCAGACATCAAGCCCTGCAGCACGGGAGTGCACGGGCCTGCACCCTCACCCTGCGGCCAGCATCCGTCTGGACTCATTCTGCCTCCATGCGCCTCCTGCAGTATACCGGAGCTCCGGATTCCTCGCCTAGCTTCTGGCCCAATCACGATGTTTGCTATTCCTTTCAAACTTGCCTGGACCAAAGTTGTTGACCACAACTTACATCTCTGCATTAGGTTAGCTTTCTGGCTGCTCTGGGACAATGCTCCACCCCAACCCTGGTACCACTCACAGCACAGGCTCTGGCAGGGTTCGTGCCCTCTCGATTCCTCCCTCCGTGAGCAGGATTTGGGCACCACTTGTCTAAAGTGCGGGGCAAAGCATGTAGCTTTATGGCCAGGCCTTCCTCAAAGGGAGGCACACTGGTTCTTACTGGTCTTTCTACTCTGAAACTTTAGCCACCATTGCCAACTAAAAACAAACAAACACTGATATGCTTACAGCCTGTGAAGCCACCTAAGGAAAAGAAAAAATACAAGGGTGAAGTAGAAGAAAAGGGGAATGTAATAATGATGATGATCGCTTACTGAGCCCCTGTTATGTATACATTCATCTCTAAAAATTACACAGCAGAAATGTGTGGTCACTTGGCCAGTGGACGCTGTGGAGCTAGCAGATGATGGTACGCATTGTAAACGAAACCTCACACAGGCAGTACAAAGTTGGCGACATTTGGATTGTACATATTTCAATTCTAGGAGGTAAGTGTTAGCACTCCCATTTTATGAATGTGGATCTGAGGCTCAGAGAGGTGAAGTGATTTTCCCACAGTCACACATCTCTGTGTCAGTGCAGGGGTGCAAACCCAGGACTCCCTGTCTCTAAATTCTGCACTTTTCCCACAAAACCATCTACAACTGTGGTGGTAGAACAAGTCAGCGGAGTTGGCCTTCAGACAGAGGCAGCGTCCCCTCCCTCCACACTACGGTAGTGTACCTGCTGTCAAGGTAGAAGACAGAAATCTAGCCACCAGCCAGGCTTACCTGCTGTGATGGCGACGGTCGTGGACAGGATGTAGCCCACACTGGCAATCAAAGAGGAGTCGTACATCTGGGAGGCTTGACCTAAAAACCTTCAACACAGGAGCACTTGGGTCAGTGGGCAGTGGGGATGTCAGAAAGGCGGAGGTGAAAGCCGATGACAGCGGGCTTGTTTTGAAATACAAAGATGATGCACAAAGGACACTCCTTGGGTTTATAAAGATGCCAGCCTTGGGTCTCCCCCAGGCTGGGGTCCACGCTTTGCTGCCATTTTCCTCTGGACACTCAGCCCGAGGCCCAGCCCCCTCCCCTGCGCGGGCCATGCCTTCCCCGTCTCACACCCCTGACCCCGTGGTTCCTATCGTTCGAAATGCCCTTTTCCTCACCTCTGTGTCCCCTGTGTCCCCAGCCCACCGAAAAGCCATTCTTGGTCTCTTAAACACTCCAAGGAACTCTTACAGCACTGGTCACATTCTGCCTCATGTTGTAATTTTTTTAAACAAATTTTCTTCTTAATTCAACAATCACGTTCTCACTACAATCTCCATCCAGGGTAACCCTCATCTTTTGGGGATATATTCTTTGTCCATTCTCTGCACAGCATTTTGGTTATTATCGCATAGCTGCTTACTCCACAACACACTTCCCACCCAACTGTAATTGCCTGTTTCCTGGGCTGTCCCCCGACCAGGGTTGTGAGCTCCTGCGCTCTGTAAACCATATAAACACAATTCTCGGATGATTATATCAGAGGAACAAGAATGTTTCTGAATGCTGGTAATCTGTATTTTGATTAAGGATCCTACAGTGTTGTTTGATAGGCTTCATTTAGACTATGTGTGAACTTAATATATGTTAATTAATGAAACTGAATGGTTTTACTGTGTTTAAAAAAATAGTTAAGTGACTGCAGTTCATCTCTCCTTGTGCGGAAGGCCCATCACGGCCGACACACAGCAGGCCCTCGGTACATGCATGCTGACTGCGTGAGTGAGACACTTCCCGAGGCGGGCAGGGCACCGATCCCCTCTGGAACCCCTGGAGGGCACAGCACAGAGCCTGGCACCAAAATCGCTGCAGTAGGACTAAGCATAGCGATAACTGACAAAGTAATAGGAGTGATTGTCACGAAAGGAGCTGCTGTTTATTGGACGTAATCCTGGGGGCCGTACTAAGAGCCTCTGTGATTCTCCTCTTATTTCTGGATGAGGAATCTGTGCCTTAGAGAAGAGGAGGAGGAGGAGGAGGCGTAGGGCAGAGGGGTGAGGGGTGCAGGATGGGCAGGGAGCCAGATGCCCGGCTTCCAGTCTCAGCTCTGCCACTTCCTGGCCCCTTAACTTCGCTTTGCTGCAGTTCCTTATAGGCAAAATGAGGATAACATCACAATTGCGGGAATCAAATGAATTCAAGTTCACGTGAAGGCAGTGAGAGCAGTGCTTACACTGGGCACCCAGGCAGTGACCCCCACGATCCCCGGAGGTGCTCCTGGTGGACATTGAGCCTTGGCGCTGGAGTCCAGGGCCTGAGCTGCCCGAGGCTGACCAGCCCCACCCACCACACTGAAACCTGCACCGTCCCCCCTCCTGGCCCCACGCGGGACTCACGTGCCTCCTCCTAGGCACCGGGGCTCAGGCGTGAACAAGGTCCAGGCCCACCCTCATAACTGCTGCTACTGAGGGAGAAATGGTCACCTTGCTCTTCCACTTGGAAAGGTTTCTTGAGGACAAGAAACAACAACTTTCTGTCTGCCACCTGGCAGACGAACAGGGGCCTCCTGGGGACAGCACAGCTTCTCTGAGGTCCCTGAAATGTACGCCTGCCGTAGAGCAGATGAGAAGTGAGGCCACTCCATTCATGGTTCTCACACTTTGAGGCAGAGTGAAAAATACACCACTTTACAAGCCACAGGGGCCCCTCCAGGTGATAACTCAGCATATTAGCAGCCCCTCTCTCCACAGTGGGTGCCACACCCTGGCATTTGAACATTCTGCCTTCCCTGTGGCTTCAAAAACAAATATAACCAGGCCCAGAAGATGGAAGAGACCCCCATGGAGAGGCCCAGCAGGAGAAGGACGTGCAACTCACGCGGCTTGATAGACAGCGGTCGCCACCATGCACACGAACATCACGTAGAAGATGGGGTAGTCGAGCTGCAGGTTCCCCTGTATGGACAAGATGAGCATCCCAGCCACGGCCTTTACCGTCACCACGGTCATCGAGCCTGCAGAGGGTTGAACGGGGACGTGTGGGAGCCTTGGAGACACGGAGGGAGTCAGACCCTGAAAGTCGGCGTCTGACCCCAAGGACCGGACGCGGTGAAATAGATGGAGGGAGTGCTGGTGGAGCCAAGCCAATAATTGACTCAGTGAGATGATGCCCTCCCTTTGCAGTGGATCTCTGTGCGTCTCCCGTGAGAGGGGAAGGCAAGAACCCGACAGGTATTCCCAAACATCCCTTCTAAACTCTACCAAGAAAGGGCAGTGAGTTCAGGTCTCTGAACCCCAGAGTGGCAGCACCGTGCCTGGAACACAATGTGCGGGAAGTCAAAACAAATCTTTTTGGGAATTTTTTTTTAATTGAAGTACCATCAGTTACAAGGCATCAATTTCTGGTGTACAGCACAATGTCCCAGTCATGCATATACATACATATATTCCTTTTCATATTTTTTCATTAAAGGTTATTACAAGATATTGAACATAGTTCCCTGTGCTATACAGCAGAAACTTTTTTAAAATCTATTTTTATATATAGTGGCTAACATCTGTAAATCTCAAACTCCCAAGTTTATTCCTTTCCACCCCTTTTCCCTGGTAACTGCAAGATTCAAAACAATCTTTGAACATATCAGTGAGCTTCTTTTGAGTATCATTTTCATAGCAATCACAGGAAAAACATGTGCTGTGGAAAGAGCTTAGGAGGGTTTTTTGCTCTTTTGGGGGTCTTTTAAAATGCTTACTCACTTGTATTTTTAAAAACACTTCTTTAGACCAGAGATCTCTGCGTTTTAGAAGGCATACCCCTGTGCATATGTACATACTTTTCAAATATATGTTTACTTATTTTACAATTATAGCCACATACTACTGTGCTTATCGGGTATGTATGTTACAAAACATGTGCAGGAAATAAATTTAAAAGGTAGAAATAGAAATAAATCTCAGCTCTAGTATCTGTTCTTCCTGTACATCCAGTGGACCACCTTGCTCACATCACCATGGAGACCACTGCTCTACCCAGTGGGGCAGACACGACTTCTGACTCTTGGACCCCCTGCCAAAGCAGGAGCTACAAGAAACTCCCAGGTACGGCACAAATGAAGCCCCTTGCTCTGCCTTCCTGTTCTTTTCAGCTTCTGCTCGTTTTGCCTTCTCCTGCCAACAGCCCATCATACACAGCGGCTGGGGGCCCCTCCGCCACTTAGACTAGTTTTCAAACATCGGCAGCCAGTTAAGACAGGCACTTTCATCAAGTTGTCTTTGTTAGTGAGGAGGGGACAGGAAGGGGTTGGCCAACGTGCCTCAGAACCTTCTGGCCTTGCTACTCACCAGGAGAGAACGTTTTGGGACCATGATCTTCCAATCCACTGTAAAAATGAAATCATCAAAGAACGGACTACTGATTCATGCTACAACATGAGTGAACCTCTGAAACATTATGCTCAGTGACAAATGGCCACGTAATGTATGATTCTGTGTATATACTATGTCCAGAAAGGCAAATCCACATAGACAGAAAGTAGATTAGTGGTTGGCCAGGGCCTGGGAGGATGGAAAATGGGGAGTGACTGCTAAGGGACACAGTGACAAAAATGTCCTAACATTTGATTGTGACGATGGTTGCATCCTCTGGGAATATACTAAAAAAATCACTGAATTGTATACCTTAAACAGGTGAACTTTACGGTATGTAAATTATATCTCAGTGAAGCTATTTAAAAAAAAAATGGAACCCTGTCCTATGATGCCACGCATCTGTGTGGTTTATGGCCTGTGGCTGGAGTGGGGGGCCTGCTGTGGGAGGGGCACAGGGAAGTGACACACACTGGGCACCTGTGCTCATCTCGGGGCATCTCCTCTCCCCGCTGAGATCTGGGTGTTCTCACTGCCTATTTGTAGAGAACAGTGAGGCTTCAACAGGGAGAGGCACTAGGAGGCAGCAGCAGGGCTGCACCTCCCCCCCTCCCTCCCCAGAAGAACAAGTACTTCTCACAGCTCTGTTTAGTAAATCACACCTATGTGGGGTTAGAGCCTTGCCCCAATCTGATTTAGGAGCCACTTCCCCCAAATCACCCATGCCTCTAAAAGGAAAAAAAAAAGAGAGAGAGGGAAAGAGTAAAATCAAAATCAATTCTTGGGGGCGGTGGAGCTCAGTGGTAAAGTGTGTACTTAGCATGTATGAGGTCCTGGCTTCAATCCCCAGTACCTACATTTAAATAAATACATACATAAACCTAATTACCACCCCCGTGCTCCCCCTGAAATCAATTTTAGCCTTTGAATCTAGAATTAATTCCTAACCTCTGATAGGTTTTACATGGACACTTAGGGACTCAGTTATTGGAACTTGCTCCACCTCTGACTTCTCTGAAATAATCCTATCCCCGCCTCCCTTACCCTGCTTTCTTCTTCTTCATTGAAATTGTCACTGCCCAAACTTACACTTTCGATGTATTTGTCAACTCGTTTACTGTCATTTCCTCCCTTAAGAGTGGGCAGCACCCTGTCTGGTTCACTGCTCTAGCTAGTTTGCAGCCCACTTCCCGGCACTTAGGAGACTGGGAATTGAGCAAGGACACTGAACGTAGCCAGCGGCACCAGGGAACCGCCAAGAGCTGCGTCCACTCAGCAGGGACGCAGCCCCTGCAGCTGCTGATGCAGACGGACCAGCCTGAGCCGGCCTCCAGCAGCTCCTGGGTCCAGAGGCCACGGCTTGGTAAACAAAGCCCCCATTTCCTTTTGGTGCTACTTGGCGGCAACAAAACTCAATCACCCAGACCCTCACTTACCAAGTAATGCCACCAAGAGGAGAATCACAACGATGTTGTTGGCGTTCCTCTCCTTGTAGAAGTACAGCAGCAAGCAGAACAGGATGATCTCCACGAGCTACGGACAGCAGCAAGGGGGGAGGTCAGGGGGCCCAGCCAAGACTGGGAGACCCGAGTGAGTGGGGCTGGAGTTTATGCTGCTGATTTCACAGCCACAGGCCCTCAGAGCTGAAAGGGAATTGAAACCCCCGGCATTTCCCAAACCACTAATGGATACCCTGGGGAAATGGAAGGAACGCTGAGTGACTCTCTCTAATCCCTGGACAACACTGAGCAGGATTTCACCTCGTGGGAGGGCTCTGCAGGCCAGGTGCTGGCCTCACGTCCACCCTGTCCTGGACGGCCAACATGCATCAGGCTGAGCTGGTTTCTTCCCACTTCACTGCTCCATGGGTAACCCCATTAAGACTGGGAGTTGGTCAAAGAGGGAGACACTTGTTCATCAAGGAGAAGAGCTCTTTGTTTAAAAGTATGCATGCCACCTGCCCCCTAACCAAGCCTCCGATGTGTGCGGCTTGATAGAGTTGAAAGAAGGGGACATGTGGGGACAGGGAGGCCCAGTTCTGAACTTGGATCTCCTTCTGAACTAGTTGTGTGGCCTTGGGCAAGTCATCTAACTTCTCTAAACCTCAGTTACCTCCTCTGTGAAATAGGGATAATAGTTCTTGCAGGGCCATAATCACAGCTTATACTTTTAATGAAGTCATAAATATGCCAGACTCTATTCTAAGCATTTTATCTTTACTCAGCTCATGAAGTCAGCACAGTAATTCTACAAACTAGGTACTACTGCAATCCCAACTAAATGGCAGACCCAGGATTTGAACCTGGACAGTCTGGCTCCAGGGCCCATGGACTTTCCCACTAGGCTACACTGCCTAAAGGCTGGAGGCCCAGTGTCTGGTGTTTAGCAGGTGCTCAGTCAGAAGAACCTTAACTGCGAGACAATGATAAGTTTGTGAACTCTGAAGTCTGGAAGTCCCCTGGCCTTGCATCCACAGTCTGTCCTTTCTGTTCCTTAAAGGTCCAGACATTTGGCCACACTTTCCCAAGAGGTGAAGCCCGTTCCCAGCACCCAGCAAAACCTAAGCAGAAACATTGGACAATGGCTCAGCTCCGCCTGCCCACCCCAACCTCCTACCAAAGTTTATCTATCATTAAAAACCAATGCAGAAACATTCGTGGGCATTTTGAGAAGAAAAACAAATTTTTTTAATTCCTCATAATTTGACACCATAAAACACAGCTGTTTTCATTTTCCTGTTTCTTCCTGTCTTTGTCACAGTGAATACATATTTTACCTACTTGTCATCATAGTCAAAGCACAATTTTGTACTGGGCTGGTTTTCGTTGCCATAAACAATTTTCATGTTTTATGAAGTTGTCATAATTATCTTTAATGGCTGCAGAATGCTCCATCAAGCAGATGTACAGTTAGTTACCCATCAACATTCCCAGCCTTCATGTGTGCATTCGGGGCAGAGGGGAGCCCAATTTTCCAGCCATTCTTCATGACGCTTAAATGCATGCAGGAAACGCACATGGCATCCTATGGTGGGATGGCTGGGTATGGTTGTTGCCTCCTGACAGACCACAAGCTCTGTGAGCAGTCTCATTTATTTATTTATTTTTAACATTTTATTTATTTATTATAGTGTTAATTATTTTATTTTGGTGGGGTGGTAGTTAGGTATTTTTTTTTTAGAGGAGGTACTAGGGATTGAACCCAGGACCTCGTGCATGCTAAGCATATGCTCTACCACTTGAGCTATATCCTCCACCTTCATTTATTTTTTATATCCACAGTGTCTGGCACATAGCAGACACTCAGAAAATATTTATTGAACTTGATTCGGCCACATCTCTCTAGCTAGCAGCACTACCTCACAGTTACAATGGAGGAAGACAAACTGAATTGGCCACTGAGCATCGGCCAGGTGCTGGGTTGTTCCCACCTGTCTCCCACCTGTCACCTGTCTCTGGTCCAGTGACCCCCACCAATTTACAGAGAAGGAGGCAGAGCATCTGGCTAAGTGACTTGGCTAAAGCTACATGGTATGTAACAGACTCAAGTCCTGGACTCCCTGGAAGAAAAGTCTGTGTTTTGAGGTCAAACTTTTCCTGAAGAGGTGGGACTGCCCGGCAGACACCTCTCTATGGCCACCAGGTAAATGCTGGGGCTGGCTGGGGGTAAGGAGATAACCAGGCCCCAAGCCTGGGGAGACCCATCCTCCACCCTGTGGGCAATCTGAGGAAAAAGGACGTTCTGGGGTTCCTGAAGCAGCCCCAGGCTGCTTGAGTCAAGGGAAAACAGAGAACCCCTTTGTCAGCAGGCGTGGAAGGAAGGTGGCCCGTGAGGCCAGGCAGGCAGGTGTCAAGTCCATTTCCGCTCTCACAGGACTCTGAGCAAGTTCACCAACCCCGAGATCCAGTTTTCTCATCCATAAAATGGGGAGAAAAATGCCTACATTATAGGGCTGTTGAGAGAGTCTGAAATGTGATGAAATAAACTTTCACATATTAAGGTACAGGGAAGTCATTCTGGCTTATCAATGATTTAACTCCAATTTTATGCTAACTCAAACAGCCTGTTTGAGTCCTATCAAACATATATAGTATATGTGCTTTAATTATTAAAGAATAGGGCATACTGACGAGAGGTAAAGAATGTCCATGTTAAAAATAAAGATTAAATGCCTTCCTTTCCGGGATGCCAGTGCTGGTCCTCCTTTGATGATCAGACTCCCTTCCCAGGTACCAAGGCCATACTGACTCGCTGTGTATGTGCTGATTTTTTTTTTTAAACCGTGAAGGACTGTATTCCTGACTTACTTGATGTTCTTCGTTCTGACAGGATAGAAAACTGTGCTGAAAACCGTGCTTCTCTGGAGCAGTTCCTCAGAGCTATCTGAGAGGCTGTCTCCCCGGCTATAGTTCTTAGGGTGGCTCAAATAAAATTCTTCTCTATTCCCATTACTGATTATTTTCATTGACAGGCAATACATTAAAGTGTTTAGCGTGGTGCCGGGCATGGAGCAGGAATATACCAGTAGTTCATCAAATACCTTAGATGTTTGCCTTCATTAGCCTATTTGTAGACCTAACTGGGGTGTAATTGGGACAGAGGACTGAGCTCTGGCTGGGGGTTTGGGAGACAAAGTTTCCAGTATCTCTCATGCTTCCATCAGCTGTGTGATACTGGACAAAAAGAAGTAAATAACATCCTATAACTGTTAAATTTTAACTTTTTTCTTCTTACCATAAAAGTTTTAAATGCTCACTATAGGAATTATGGATGCTACGTGAAGATGAATATGAAATAAAAACAATCATAACTCCATCTCCCAGAGACAACCACTGATGGAATTTCTGTCTTTCTATTCAGTCCTTTAAGGATAATGTACAAACCTACAAATACCTCTAAAAAATAGTTATCACACTATACATGCAGCTTTAGACATTACTCAGGACACAAGGGAAAAGAAGCACTTCCCCAGGAACTACACGCTCTCCACAAGCACGGTGCTCAGTGCTGTGAAACACAGCAGCACGACTCCCGTGAGCCCCCTCTTGCTGGGAATTCAGGTTTCCGGTTTTCGGGGCTCGCTCCCCACTCCCGCCATCTCAGGTGGAAGGACCAGATGCTTGTCTTACCATGTACAGGAGAAAAGGCCAGCTCACGAGGTGCTTGGTGATGTTCTCGCCTGTCATCTTCTCATGACTGTTGGGTGCGAATGTCACCAGCAAGTAGGTGCCCACGATGGCCAGACCGCAGCCAACAAAGGATAAGACGTAGCGCCCTGCAGGGAGGGGGAGGCTGTCACAGGGCTCACTGCAGGCGCAGGCCCCAGGACAGAGCGTGCTTCCGGGGCAGCACATGATGACCTGCTATGGTTTGTATTTTGGGGGGTTTTCTTTACTTGAAAAAATTTTTTAAAAATCACATTTAATATTTAAAAAAATTTTAATGTAGTGTAGCATGCATACAAAAAAGTGCTTGATGAATTCTCACACGGTGAACTCACCATGTAACCAGCACCCAGACTGAGAAATGGAACATTAACAGGACCCCCAAATCCCCACTCGTGTCCCCTTCCAATCACCAGACACCCCCCAGGGTAACACTTTGACTTCTGCCAGCACTGAGTTTGCCTGGGTTTTTACTTTACGTAAATGGATTCATACAGTATGTCTTCTTATGTCTGTGGTCACACAAGACTATATTTGTGAGGTTCATCTGGATTGTGGTGTGTGGAGGTAGTTCATTCATTCTCAAGGCTGTAGGGTGGTCCATGTGTGCATATGATACTGTTGATGGGCATTTAAGTAGCCTCCAGTCTTGGATTAAAATAAAGAATGTTGCTAGAAACATTCTTGTGCATGTCATTTGGAAAATACATACGTACTTCTGTTGGGTACAGAACTAGGAGTGGGATTCCTGGGTCATACGTATGTGGCTGTTCAGTTCAGTAGTCCACTGGTTTTCCAAAGAGGCTGTACCAGTTTACACCCCCACCAGTAGAGGATGAGAGTAAAACTGCATTATTTTTTCATCTTCATTTCAGTCACTTTGGTATTACACTGTGGTTTGAACATGCATTTTACAAGGAACATTCTAAAGCTCGTCCAGCAAGATGAACAAAAATAAAACAAAAACCTCAAAAGCAAACCTTCAGAGCCTACCACGCACCTTTTAAAATTGTCTCATCCTCTCCCAATTGGCCATTTAACCTATTCCCAAGGGAACTATTTAAATACTATCAATACCCACGGGCCTGTCAGAGACCATTGGTGGCCCAGGAGGCCTGTTCCTGGGTGAAAGACAAGAGTCTCCTGACTCTTTCCCAGGGCCCTGTCACACTCCAATTGAACCCCATGGAGTGGTGAAAAGCCTCTGGAGGTGAGTCCAGTCCCGGGCAAGCTGAAAAGCGCTGTGAGTTCTCAGAGGCACATATGGTGACCATAGGCCTCTGGATTTTTCTGTGATAGAACCAACTATACCTGTTTCATTCTACTATCTCCAGGAAATGTGATACCACCTTAAATATCTTTGATTTTCATTCTAGGCCTTATAAAGTGCTCAAAAACCGGTTATTCAATTGCTCAATGAATGAACGAACCATGGTTAAACACAACATGGTGTTCTGTGCAAGTCTATTGTCTTAAGTTTTCCGCAGACAGGGAGGGACAAGTCTTACTCATCAACATGCCTGCATTGTCTAGCACAGGTCTAGCGCTGGATGAATGTGTGCTGAATTTAGTGGAACTTTAAGCAGGACAGCTACATAGAGTTGTGCAGGTTGCTCACTGAACAAGGGCACCTAGCTGAAGGGATGAGGGGGGCTAAAGTCTAGACCATGCTTTTCTCACTAAGGCATGTGCCCATAGAACTACAGATGCCCAGAGGGGTATCTTTTTTCAGTTCACATAGGGCACTGCCTGGACTGGCATGTCTTGAATTCCAGGACTACCTAGAGTGACTCCAGGAGGGACATAAACCTTTACACTAGTCTCAGAACCAGCCCAGCCCCTCTCTTCTCCCAAGGAGGATTACTGCAAATCACTCTGAGTCTTTTAGTCTTCGTGGCATCGTTTACTGAGCAGTAGTTCTGCTTTTTCAGTGTAAGATGCTTTTCTTTTTCAGCCTCCTGGTCCCATCTTGCTCTTATTCCACACCAATGATTCAGAACAGTGGTTCCCAAACCTGGCTGCGTGTCTGCAACATCTCAGGACCTTCTTCTCCCTGACATTTTGTACTTAAAAACTTTCAGACACACAGAAAAGTTGAAAGAGTTGTACAGCAAGCCCCCAAAGTCCGACTGCCTAGACTCTAAGTGGACATTTTATTATACTTGCTTTCTCACATATCTACCCATTTTCTTCATCTCTCCACTCATTCACCAAACCAGTGTATTTTCGGATACACACTGGGGAGCAGGAGACAGATGACCCCTAAACTGGGGTGAGCTGGTTTTATAATGAAAAAAAAGCACAAGCATAAAATTAAGAACAGAGGCTCAAATCCGTGAACTTACTCAGAAAGTCTTTAGGTTTCCATTTTTCTTTGATGAATATGATTCCTATGATGGCACTGGCTATAAAAAAAAAAGAGCAGAGGGAGAAGAGAATTGAGGTTGCCATCAGTCAGATGGAGTCCCTTCGCCCACACCCTCCGGGTGGCTCATCTGCATTGGGGCTTGATACTTCCTAAGCTCTCACTCATGCCCCCTAGGGCTCAGGCTCTTGTTACTCCATCTCTTAGAAACAGAAACTCCTATCTGAGCCTCCCTGAGGGTTTTCTACAAGGCCAGGAGCACTGGGTGTTGAATGTTCGCTGTGTGATAGGCAACTTACTCCAGTTATTTCTGGCATAGTCACTCTTTGAGGTGGGCGCTGTCATGATTCCATTTGAAAAATGGGGACCTTGAAGCTTAGAAGAGATAAAGGATCTACTAAAGATCATGCAGCTGGCCAGGAAGGGCTACACTCGAACCCAGGACTATCGGAGGCCAGAGCTCTTGTCCCTTCCACTACAAGGCCTACCTGTGATATCCGCCCCCCGCCACCCCCACCCCGTTCTTTTCTCTCCTTGACTCTTTTGCAATTAAATGAGATAATATATGCAAGTCATTTGTCACACAGTAAACATTTGCTCAGTAACTAAGCTGTTGTCATCATTACTATTAAAGTACCTGGAACAATGACTAATAAGTAATGGGTGCCTGATAAGAGGTGGTTATTATTTTAATATTCACATATTTTTAATATTATTTTAAGAAACTTAAGAAACTCTCAGAGCCCCTTAATTTCCAGTGGCCATGATCTGAAGTGACAGAAGAATCATTACAAAAAGCCTACTTTTAAGAATTTGGTTATTTGATCCTTATTAAAATTCAAAGACTAATACTTAAAGCACTTAGTCACCAGCCACTTATTCCTCATTGTGCATAAAGATTCTGAAAGCCCTTTGCATAGATCAGTAATGGGTAGGGAACAAATCTAAATACCTATTGGGGCTGGGCAACAACACAGATGTAGAAAGTGGGTCAGATGAGAAACAAGAGGCAAAAGTGGAGATTATGGCAGACTGCTTGTCTCAACCGAAGGCACTCAAATTATATTTTGAAACAATACTGTGTGGGGAAGAACACAGCATGCCTGAGGACCTCGGTCATTACGTGGGCTGCCAACCCTGGTCAAGAAAAAGAGGAGCTTTTAATAAACAGGATCAGGGAAAGCAAATTGGTTTTTCCTCCCTTGCTAACTCCTGGTAACTGGTAATGACTGCCTGAGGCTCTGAGAACTTGGAGGGCCCATCCGGGCTCACTAGGAAGGAATGCTATGATTGATTAGTGTTGTCTGCCTTGGGCACAGGAGGGGCACATAATTACCACACATATGCCATCCCTGGTGTAGAAGAGGCCCTCTTAATTCCAGGAGGAATAAGACTTAAAACATGACTTTCTCCTGTAACAGCAGGGACGAGCTTCCAGGCATTGTAATGCTTGCCATTGAGATGGAAGGAAAGATTTCAAAGCAAGTTCACTGTCCCTGCTCCTATGTACAAAAAGCTATTATTGGTCACTAATCTACTAACATCTTTTATTCAGGAAGAGAAAAATTTTTTTTTTCAAATTGTATTTTATTTGTGACCTCGTGGGCGTTAAAACTCCTTTGTCTTTTAGTTGGTTTAAATGTTCTGAAACCCTGGTTCAGGATTACAGAAATCATAGAAAAATGGCAGATGAGAAAGTTAATGATGTTTTAAAGATGATATCAGTTGATATAAAAAGATCAGAATAAGCTGAATGTGCATTTCTTAGAGGCATAAGATATCTGAACTCTGTGAAAGCTTAGTGGTAGGATGAATGGGTTAAGGTTTATCTTCCTTCTGTAGCAGAAATAAAAAGCAATTCTGATAAACCTTCTAAATTTTAGATTCTAGAGGCAGACAGCCTGGTTCGTAGCCCAGCCCTGCTCCTCACTAGCTGTGTGATCTGGGGAAAGGAACTTTACCGCTCTGTGCCTTGGTTTCTTCATCTGTAAAATGGGGATAATAACAGAATCTCCCTCAAAAGCCTGCCAAGAGACTAGACGACCAGTATCTGTACAGAGCTCAGAGCAGAGCCCTCTGTGTGTGTTAGGTATTAACATCAAAGCAGAAACTGATTTGTTTAATGAGTGTCTTTGATCCTGGCAGTGACACTGCCCACACAGGTGGGTGGGTCCCAGGGGAGGGGCGGGGGGGACCAGTCTTACCTATGACGGAGACTGCGCTGAGGGGCACGATCAGGGAGAGCGGAGCGAAAGCGTAGGAGGCAAACACACCGAGCTCGCCCAGCAGCATCAGGAACAGGCCCAGCCACCATGTCTTGGTCTTGAAATAGGCCCGAGGGTCCTTGGAGCCTGCTAGGCGGATGTGGCAGTACTTCTAGAAATCCGAGAAAAAAATGCGATTTGTCCAGATGTCTAGGGGAAAGATGCTGTGATGCACGGATCCTAAATCCACCCCTGACTTTTAAAAATAGTTTGGGGAGCTCTGTGGGGTTTTTCTGGTGTCCTTACTCAGAGAAGAGCAGAGCAGCGCTTAGATGGCTATTCTATGACGGCAGTTCTCTAATCGGCTGGGAAGCTCTGAAAAAATCCGTGTCTGGGCCTCCCTCAGAGGGGAGGTGTGGGTGAGGCCCGGGAATGTGCATTTCTGATGCTCATCACAGGCAATGAGCAACTTGGGGTGGCAGCCATGATGTAAGGACCCCCACGTTGGCCCAGCCCTCAGGTGGACCTTCTCCCTCTAACAGCAATGCCCAGGAGTCCCCTAGTTCAAAGTGTCCACTCGGATACACACCTTTCTGTAAAAGTGCTTGCAGCTTCCCTGTGGTTATTAGGGGACCCTGCCCCTCCTCGGGTGGATACCTGCCCAAGCATGGACAATGTTCTTTATTCTGGAAATGTGAACTTGGGACACAGACACAAGACAGTGACTAAGGAAAGCTAGAAAGTCACATTGACTTATAGGGCCACATCTGCCATGTGGGGAGGATCACGATGGGGGCTGCAGAGGCACAGATGTGTAAGCAGAAGTGCTGGTCTGCAGAGAGAGGAGAGTGAACTAGACAAGTTGCTAAGAGACCACATAGCCTTAGAAACACACACATGTGTGTGCACGAGAGCAGAGAGGTACCAGGTACACAGGTACCAGGTACACATACTGGTCATGTGTCCTCTCCAGAGAGGGAGGGCGGTTCCCTGAAGCCGGGAGCTGGGTAGCGCTGTGGGGTTTTTCCTGTCGGTAGGTGTCAAGTTTTAGTCTGAGTTTCCCAGAAGTCATCCCTGAAACAAGGGCTTGGGAGTAAGCAGCTGATTTGGGAGGTGATTCCAGGAAGCACAAGTCAGGGAGTGGGCAAGTGAGACAGGGAAGAGAAGAGGACCAATGGAGAGAGCATTCATGGGTGAGTAAGGTGAGTTGCCCCTTGGGCAACTGGGGCTCAGTTCCACTGGGGACCCTTAGAGAAACCCCGTGAACTCCCCTCAGAATCGTCCTACCCAATGATGGGGAGCCTGGGGCATTGATCCATTGACTTCTATCCCCACTAGTGGAAGGCCGCCCCCAGGGGCTTTAACAATCTTCACCCCAAACACACAGCTGGCTTCCTGGCTCTCCAGCTGCACCTGTACACTAGTGGAGCCAGTTCCCATGGTGCTATGAGCTCAGCTTGGCCGAGGGGTTGTGGGGCAGGGCACCCCCAGAGACTTTTAAGTAATGAAGAGCACTGTCTTCAAAGTTGAGGAGTAATGGGGGGATGAGGTAAGGGCAACAACTAAAGAGATTCTGGAACAACCCACAGGGTATTGTCCCAGCCCAGGGATGGAGTGGGAAACATCCCAGAGAAGAGGCAGCTAGGCCTGCACCAGACATCTTGGCTATCAGCCCCAGGCAGTGCTGGTGGTGGAAACTTACCTGGAGGTTAAGTGCAATGCTGACCACAAGGTGCCCGAAAATCGCCAAGAGGGCGCCAATCAAGTTTTCCTGTAAGGAAAGTTCACAGGAGCAGACATGAGCAGGGCCTAAGCCAAGGGGCCCCAGGACATATTGAACCCATCTGTTTGCTGTTCCCCAGAAAAACCAGAAAAGCAACACCCATCACAAAGCCACACCCCACCCCCACCCCAGACCCTCTACTGGAATTTTACTACGAAAGCTTGACCTGGCTGCCTTGCTGGTTTACAGAACACCGCCCAGAACAGGATGCTACCAGATGGCACCATCCTTCATCCACTGGTCACAATGACCTGCTTGCCTAAATCTGCTCTACCAGTTCTCTTAATGTATGGACTTGCCATGGTTTGCACAGACTACATTCAGGAATTAGAATTTATACGAGAAACACAGGCAGGGATGCTATCTGCCATCTTATCAATGGAGTCTTCATCTTCCCAGAGGGGTTCTCATTGGACAGTCTTATTGGGACTGTCATTTAAAGAGCTTCATTCTCTTCCCCTGGACAAGGATGGGCCTGTGACCTGACCCACATTTGATCCAAGCTAGGCAGGTCAGAAACTCTCTTCCTGGGACCCAAATCCTGGACTAAGAAACACAAAGGCTGAAAAAGGCTAGTTCATCCCTGCCCAAGATGAGGCTTAGACAAGCCAGACCCCTGGAGCCTTCCTGGTTCCTGTCCTTCCTGAAGCTGGTTTCCCTAGCTCTTCCTTCTATTCTGGGAGCAGTCCCCAAATCTCTTTTTGCTAGTTTCTGTTACTTGCAACCAAAGAGCCTAATAGAGTCAAGACTTGATGGAACACAGTTTGGGAATATGTTTATTTTTATTAGTCCAACTCCTAGTAAACATGTTTTCCCTCCCTTTCTTAGAGGGGCAGCTTTTGTAGACAAAAAAGGCTATGGCATTTACTTTGGTTTTCAGAAAAATTATATTTGATATTAAAATAACAGATCTTGAATCTAGTTTTTTGGAAACAAAACCCTAACAAGGAACTAAGTCATTCTTATAAGTCTAATAAACTGCACTTATGAATATAAGGAATCTTAAATATTCTTTAACATTTTGATGCTCTTCACATACAATAAAATTCTCCTATAACTTTCAATTTTAAAAGACTTCTGCTTCCAACAAAGATGGAGTAGACATTCTATTTCCTGTGCTTCCCATTATACACAACTAAAACCCCTGGACATTACATATAAAACAAACATAAGAAGACTGAAGGGTAGAGAGAAGAAGGCAGACAGGCTAGGGACCTTGGGACCCGAGGAACCACATGGTGGGGAGTTCCTTGAGTTTTCTTCTTGCCTCGTATACCTCAGACTTGGAGCCGAAGAAACTGGCAACCTGGAAACACCAACAGGTGTGACCAAAAGCAGCCACAAGAAAAGCCTGCTGTCTACTTGGAGAACCAGGAGATGAGCAGCCAAGCCAGACAGAAAAATTGTAGACAGTAACTGCTGTACTCTGAACACTGCAGGGAAAAAAAATGGCCCACCTCGTCCACCTTCTTGAAGCTGTAACAAAGGCCCCAGACTCTCCTGCTGGGACTACCAGCGAAGGCCAAGTAGGGAGCCAGTGGCCAGTGATGAAGTGGCACTCCTCCTCACCCTACAGTGGCAGTAGAGACCACAGAGAGCCTGGACTTCTGCTCCCCACCCAGCCTCTGCCTTGGCAGTTATGAAGCATGCCCCCCACCCCCAGCCGCCAGCTGGGGTGGTAGGTATCACAGGAGGCAGGACAATTACCACTACCCTTTCACAATTATACTGTCCCAAAGTTGGGGTTACCATTTGTAGTAAACTGCAACGATGGGTGCAAAAATTCCTCCCATCTCTGCATACACATGCTACAACCCCTTCTCAAGAGATAGGGGCTCTTTCCCTCACCACCTGAATCTGGGTTGGACTGTGACTTGCTTTGATCAACAGAATGAGCAAGGAGTGAAGTTCTGCAATTTCCGAGCTCAGGCCTTATACATTCTGCTTTTGCTCAGACAGGAACCCAGCCACATGAAATTAAGTCCAGCCTATCCATAAAAAGAGAGGGAGGCCATGTGGAGGACCAAGCATATATATGAGTGGGCCCAGTCAACACCAAGAGAGGACAGAGGCACAGCCACCCTGGCCAAGTGCCAGCTGATTCAGCCAGCCTAGCTGAGGCTCCGGACGTGAGGGAGGCCATCCTGGATGCCCCAGCCCCTTCCCCAGCCCCAGCCGGGCAGCACGGATGACACCACGTGGAGGAAAGACACAAAGGCAAGCCATCACTGCCGAGCCCTGCCCAAATTCTTTCTTTTTAAAAAAATTTTATTGTGGTAAAAACACTTAACATAAGACACTTCCTCTTAACAAATTTTTAGTATCCAATTCTAACTATATAGAGACAATAGGGACAATGTTACACAGCGGATCTGTAGAACTGATTCATCCGGCATAACTGTGACTTTATGCCCACTGATTAGCAACTCCCTACTGCCACTATCCCCGCCTCCGCCAGCCCCTGGCAACTGCCATTCTACTCTCTGATTCTAGAGTTTGACTGCTTAAGATACCTCATGTAAGTGGCGTCATGTAGTATCTGTCCTGTGGTGACTGGCTTATTGTCTTTGTCAATTTGGGCTCCTCTAACAAATATGATAGACTGGGTGGCTCCACAGACATTTATTTCTCACAGCTCTGGAGGCTGAGAAGTCCAAGATTAAGGTGCAGGCTGATTCTGTTCATGGTAACAACCCTTCTCCCGGTTTGCAGATGGACACCTCCTTCTTGCTGTATCTTCACATGGTAGAGAAAGAGAGCTCTGTCCTGGGTCTCTCGTAAGGGCACTAATCCCATTTGTAACGACTCCACCCTCATGACCTAATTGCCTCCCAAACACCCCATCTCCAAATGCCATCACACTGGGAATTATGGCTTCAACATACGAATTTTGAGGGGGACACATTCAGTCTTATTTCACATAGCATAATGTCCTCAGAGTTCACCCACATGGTGGCACATTACAGGATTTCCTTCTTTTTTAAGGTTGGATAATATTCCATTGTATGCATGTACCACATTTGTCTTTCTTCATTTATCAGTGGACATTTAGGTTGTTTCCACATCCTGACGACTGCAGTCAACAGAGAACTAATACCTCTTTGAGATCCTGACTTCAATTCTTTTGGATCTTGTTCACATTCTTGATCCCCTGAACTGTGTAAGCACTAAAATGGTGGTTGTTTTTAGCTCCTTAGGTTTCCAGGTGGTTTGCTGTTACACAGCAATAGCTAAACAATGTGCTTCCTTAGTGGACCAAGGTTGCTTAACAATCCAGCAGTTTCAAGATGTGACTTTATTCCAGATATTTACCAGTGGTGGCTTTGACTATCCATCTGATCTGAGTATGCATCACTCTACTGCTTGGTTGGCCTCCATTCCATTTTTTGCTCAGTAAAGGTATTTTAATGTCTTCCCATTTTAATGCCTGGCTCTAAATGCTCTTTAAGGCCATTCTATGAACCCAGAATATCTTTTATTTAACTTGTCATTATCTTTTTTATTGAGACAAAATTCACAAATCATAGAAGTCAGCATTTTGACCTTTTAAAAGTGTACAGTCCAGTGGTTTTTAGTATATTCACAATGTTGTAAGTGATGCCATTTAAAATGGTAGAATAGAGAGCTCCAGGGATCCATTCCTCCAGAAAAAAACGAATGAACTGGCAAACACTGAATCAACTTTTATAGAACCCTGGAGTTTAGTTAAAGACTTATAACAACCAGGGGAAGCTTGGTGAGGAAAGAAGCAGTTGCTTTTACGCTAAGAGAGCACTGTGGCATTTTAAATTGCCTGCCAACCATCCTTTACAGTCCAGGCCTGTGGCAGTCATGACGACAGAGGGAGCAATATGGAACTTATTAAAATTGTGGTTGTGGATTCTAGCCTGTCTGGTGGCTCCCTGAAGGAATGGCACAAGGGCTTGCGTTTGTTTTGCCTGACTTGGAGCAACACCAGGGCTGGGGGGACAGCTTCTGGGATGCTTTTGCCAAAGCATTTAAGGCACAAATATTGGCTGCAGCAGCCTGGGGCAAGGGGCACACTAAAGAAGAGCAATAGACAGAAAAAGCCTGGGCAGAAACAGACTGGGAAAGAAGACATGTGGAGGGAGGGCTTTTAAAAGCTCCCATGGATCCTGGGGAATCAAGAAGGCCATGCAAATACCCAGGGCTGGATGCACGCTCCAAAGATGCTTGAGAAGATGCTAAGCCTGCACCTCTGGCAGCCTTCAGGCTGGGCAGAAGCGGGAAGTAAAGGCCAAGGCAGAACTGCATAGAGACTGGTAAGTGTGGGAGTAGTGCCCGAGTCTGCAAAGACTGTCAGAGGTTTTTCATTCCATTATATGGATATAAAATATATCTATTCCTCCTCCCACCACTCCCTCCCTCCTTTCTTTCCTTCTTTCTTTCTTCCTTCCTTCCTTTCTCTTTCCTTCCTTCCTTCCTTTCCTTTC